ACAAGAGTGGTACATTTATACAAATCAGATGATCACACTCAGTAGATTATAAGCTTTGTAATGATACCTTACAAGAGACCTTTTGCATGAGGCATATCCCAGTTACTTACATTCACTTATTACCGTACTTTCTCTAAAACTATCTCAGTTACATTATATTGACGACTTATCAAGTTTTTATAAAACCATATAGACTGCACAACGTCACAGAGAGGTTGGCTAGGGAGTGGGGTCCCTCGGGGGCGGTTAGGGGCAGAGGGTCCCAGGAGGGGACACTCAGGGGACAAGGAGCGGGGGGTTGGATGGGTCGGGGGCAGGGGCCAGCCTGTTTGGGGAGGCACAGACTTCCCTACCTGGCCCTCCATACAGTTTTGCAACCCTGATGTGGCCCTCGGGCCAAAAAGTTTGCCCACCCTGATCTAGCTTATATTTCTTTTCTCCATAGTATCAGTGCCTCCCACAAGTAAAACTAACAATAATTCTGTCGTTCTCTCCCTTGCTGACAAGAAGCAGATTTATTGGGCGTTGATTTTTTCTTTTTGGAAGTACATACCCATGACTATGAGGGTGGAATTGCAGAAAATCCTGGGTGAAGAGATGAGTGAGTGCATGAGAATGAGACAGTGAAACTAGCTAGTCTGCTTTCCTTGCATGCGGAGTATACTGCAAAAAATAAACAGAGTGGTGAAAAGTAACTGGATGTTGAACATTCTTTCATTGGGGTTAATTTAATAATAATATATTGAGATATACCTGTCTCATAGAACTGGAAGGGACCTCGAAAGGTCATAGAGTCCCGCCCCCTGCCTTCACTAGCGGGACCAAGTACTGATTTTTGCCCCAGATCCCTAAGTGGGCCCCCTCAAGGACTGAACTCACAACCTGGGTTTAGCAGCCCAATGCTCTTACTGGGGTATTGAGGATTATAGTATCTTTAAGTCACCATTGTACTGTCCCAATCCTGGGCTGCTCTGGAGACCAGGGAACACCCTAGCATAATTTAGACAAACCTAGGGTTCCTTCTAAATTATGGAGCTTCCCTGGGCTTTCCTACGGGCCACAGCACTGCCTGGAATCTCCACAGTACTGTTTGCTGTAGTCAATCTCAATATACCCTCCCACTTCCAGCATGTTTCTGTGAGGGAGTCCTCGGCCTCTCATTGTCTTCCATAGTGTCCATACTGGGAAGTTGTCCCGGCCCAGATGTGGGGGTTTAGAGCCCGTTTACACTGCTCTGGTATGAAGGAGCCAGGGTGAGGCTCTTGCCCCAGATTTTTAACCCGACAGTGTTCGTCCCTTTAAAAATCAAAATGCATTTCCTCTGAAATAGTTACTTTGGTAATATATTTTCAAAAGTGGATTCTCCTCAGCCCAGATGACTCTGATATTGAACCTGTAACAGGGAACACTTTTATAGGCATTTCAATTTGATTTGACTTGCTTGTGTCAGGAGTAGGTGTGAACCAAGCTTGCAGAGGGTTAAATGCCTTCTTGGACATCTGATTTATTTCTCTTTAATCCTTCATTACCTTGGGGATGTTTTACATATTGATCGAAGCCCATAGATGACATAATTTGGGGAATAAAATGCTGACTATATGATCTAGGAAATCCATGTTGCAAGGCTAAAGTTTTATATAAATAAGTCAGATCTCTGAGGATAATCTTGTTTTCAGAGGCTTAGGCTGTTTAATTAACATAGTTGAAATCTATCTATGTTGCTATTACTACGAGTAGTCGCCCCCAAACCATTGGGGGCTATCCATAAATTATGTAACACATCAGGGTGGACCTTAATTTTGCGTGAGTGTATGTTTGAGTGTTGCAAAGGGGATGGGTGGATCTTGAAAATAATCAAAAATGTGGAACATAATTTATGGACAATCCCCTGTAATATCTGAGCACCTCATAAACTCAAGGATTTATTCTGACTGCATCTCTGTGAGCCAGGGAAACGTTATCCCTGCTTTACAGAACTGAGGCATAGAGATTATGTGATCTGGCAGAAAGTCTAGCAGAGCTCGGAATTGAACCCAGGGTGCCTGGGTCCCGATCTAGTTGCCTTAACCACAAGACCAGAAAGAAAGAAAAATCTTAATGGGTCCCCAGATCACTCTTCCGGGAGCTGCTCTAGGATTGTTCTCTACGATGTATTTTCTAGTGTGTGTTCTGTACTCTGTCTGGTCTTGATTGAAGGACTCTTGGACTTGCTTCATACTTTGCAATCTCTCCTTACTTCAGTATAGTAAAAGTTAAGGCTTGGACCAGATTGCATGTTTTTTTTCTGACTTGTGTTGCCACGTGCATTGGCTTGAAGTTTTTATATTTATTTTCCTTTTCTCGTAGTATTGCCCGGAGCCCGTTTGTACCATAAGAACAAGAGACATCCCTGCCCCGTGAGGGCAAAATACTGAGTTGTGTTGCATTCAAAGTGCAGACTGATCTGAGAGGAATAGCCAGTCTTGCAATGTCATGAAAAAGACTATTTTCGTTATGCGTGTGTTGCTGTGCGCATCTTGTGGTTTTGTTTTGCCAGTGTGGGCTGCTGTCCTGGCAGATATAACCACAGATGTATTAAAACAGGTGATCTGTAAAATATTACTGCATCGCCGGCTAAAAATAAAAATCAATTGAGAGTTTAAAAAAAAACGGGCAGCAGCATTCAAATGTACAAGGTATTCAAAGTGATTGTTGTCTCTCTGAGAAAACATGGTATCACCTTTTCGCTTTCCAGGAGTTTGACATGGTATGATTTTTTTTTTCCCCTTTAAGGCCAGACTTACAAGACGGGGGACTCTATTTGAGAAAGCGTTGACTCTGAAAAGTGCCAACTAGTCGGAGTAGTTAATTGACTGAACATGATCTCTGTGTGCTGTTGTGGCAAAGAGGACTAAGTCTTTGAATGAAACAGGAGAATGTTGAATAGAGATAGAGAGGTGATATACGGTATTGATGAGAGTGCTACTGGTGTCCATAATGTACCAAAAAATATTTAAAAATTGGAGACGATTCAGATAGGCACTGCAAAAATGAGTGCATGTTTGGGAAAACGCTGTGCAGTGAAAGATGTAAAGAGCTCAGTGTATTTAGCTTCTCTATCCATTCTAGGTAATTTCTTCCTCTTTCTTTAATCAAGATTGAAAGTTTCTCTAAAATATATGCTCTAATTCATTCATAATTTATTGGGCTCTATGCAGGAATTACTGGGTGAAATGTCAATGGCCTGTGGTGTTCAGGAGGCCAGACTAGACAATTACCGTGGTCCCTTCTGGCCTTTAAAATGTATTAAACTATCTTCTCCATAACTTCGGTGCAAATGATCTGCCTGAATCTCTCCCGTATCCTATAGCATATTCAAACTTGCCAATTCGAAATGGGGGGAATGGGGGAGTCAGGTTGTAATTCCACCAAGGGTATTTCTGGTTTTAGGAGACTTGTACTTTGTGTTGTATTTCATATTATGAATACTTTTGTTCAATGCAATTAAGCGATGGGACCTTTGCCATGGCAGGATGTAAAGGCATTTGGTGGCTGCAGTGTGAAAAGTCAGAATGGAGTGTCTCCAGGGTTCAAAAAGAACTTATTTATGTAAATATATCAAATTGCATATGCATATTTAGGTTTCTAGGATTTTGTTGTTGTTATGTTTTTGTTTTCATTCCAGTTTTGAGTTGATGCGGATGTGCTGGCAGTACAACCCCAAGATGAGGCCCTCCTTCCTGGAAATAATCGGTAGCATTAAGGATGAGCTGCATCCAGCATTCAAAGAGGTCTCCTTCTTCTACAGCGAAGAGAACAAGCCTCCAGACACCGAGGAACTCGATCTGGAGACTGAAAACATGGAGAGCATTCCTTTAGATCCCTCCTCCACCCTCCAACCCACTGACAAGCACTCAGGACACAAAGCTGAGAACGGCCCAGGCGTGGTGGTGCTGCGGGCCAGCTTTGAGGAGAGACAGCCGTACGCGCATATGAACGGAGGACGCAAGAACGAACGGGCCTTACCTTTGCCCCAGTCTTCGGCCTGCTGATCCTTAAAACCCAGAATCTCACAAACACACACATGTTGGGGAAGAAAGACAGAAAAGAAAATATATTCAAAAGCCTACTGTACCTCAGTGGATCTTCAGAACTGCCATAGCTGCACACGGGAGAATCCTCTTTTCAGTAAACAAGATAGTTTTTTCTTTGTTCAATATGCAAGCAGATGTTTATTTCATAAAGGACTCTGTTCAGTGGGGCGCACAGTCAGCCTTTTAAAACTCTAATGTTAACACTTAATAGCAACAGAAAACTTGAGATCTGATGTCTCTCTCTTCTCTTTCTCTCTCTCTCTCTCTTTTTCTTTCTGCTTCATAATGGGAAACATATCTGCGTGCAAGTTCAACCATACAGCACTTTTATCAGATCAAAGAAATTGCAGGCCAGGTGGCTCCCCTTTAGCCCTTGCAACACCTGCTTAACACTGTAGGTCTTTATAAAAACAGAATTGAAAAAAAAAAAAAGGACTGGATTTTTAATGTTACTCTAACCTTTTTAGGAACATGTAAAAGAATTTAAAAAGGGCCATCATTCGTCCAAGGTTGTTACCATTTTCAACGCTGCCAAATTTTGCCAAAAAAAAACCTGAACTTTTTTGGGGTGGTGGTGGTTTTGTTTCACGGGGGGGGTGGGGGTTGTTTGTTTTTTGTAGGCTTGGAAGGAGCACAGTAATCAACTGCTCCATTTAAAAGAGATACTGACCAATACACTCCATTCAATCATACACTGGTATTTAAAAAAAAAATCAGATTGTCTAGATCTTTTTTTAAACTGGACAAAACATGATTTGTTTTCTCATGATGGAGAGGAAAGGGGGGCGGGGTTTAGAAATAGCCCTCCCTCCACCCGCCCTCCCCCACCAAGAATTCTGGACAAAACTGGCAGTGGTGAGCCAAATATCACACACACACACACACACACACTCACTCTCTCTCTCTCTCTCTCTCTCTCTCTCTCTC